AGATCTTAACAAGTCCACCACTACTAAACAGGCCTCTACTAAAAAAAAATCAATTAATTCACAACAATTCAATTACCATAACAATTCAATATTTCAAAGTAGTCCAACTTTCATGCTCAACCAAATAAACAAGTCCACCATCTATTGAGAAACAAAATTTCCACCAAATGGAAAAATCACAAAAAAATTCAATAATCCACCAAGATTCAAATATCATAACAGGTTACCAATAATCACAAGTAATGCAAAAGCACAATATGCAAAATCACATTTCCTCACCGCGGTTATTCCAAATTTTAAATTCCTAGCAAATTATAATTCCTATGCCTGCATCTCAAAACCTAACATCCGCTTAGGCTCTTAAAGTCAACTTCTTAACATCCTAGGACTCAAACCTAGGGCTCTGATACCAATTTGTAACACCCCCATTTTCCAAAACCAAAATCTGAGAAATTTTTAATTTTTTTTTCTTTTATTTAATTATAAAACATTGTTTAAATTGCGGAAGCTAAAAACAAAACGAGGGCATAGGGGATGCTACCGCCACATTTAGATAACAACATTTATCCAAACGCACAGGCTAAAACCACAACTACTAGAAACAATCCAAAACTAATACTAGTATAAAAAATTAAATACAATTGTCTAGAAACAACTTCTAGATTATCTAATAAAAATAAATAAATCTCCAAAGCTCTAACAAGAAAGGTGAAACGCTCTCATGCTCCAAATGCTCATGAAACATTACCTGCAAGATAACTAAAGAGGGGACAAACTCAGCATACAACAACTGTTAAGACTTACTCCACCCCGTAAAACATTTTACGCATAGCATATAACACCTTGAATTACATAATTCCACATTAACCCCTTATTCACATTATACTTGCAATACTCCCTCCTACCATTTCTTCACATTTAATTACCAATTACCAAGTCAACCACATAATAAGTATAAGTTATAATTTCATATAACATTCCAGAATTTACTATATCATCAATTAATTTACATAAAATACCTTAACTTTCACGTTTGACAACTTTTCTCAATATTAGGATTTAATCCTTTATTTACCACCAAGTCAATGAGGAGGAGAAATACAAGGCAAGGACCATTACTTCGGCCCCAGTGACCAAAACCAACCAACCAGAGACCAACCCAGTTGACACGAGATCAATCCCTTAAGTATGCATACCCCCATTGAGAGTCCAACCCCAATGGGTAGAACGAACTCGATTGTGAGAGACCAACCCCACAAGGTATATAAAAATAATCCAGAACCAAATACGAGAGACCAACCCCACACTGGAATCCATAATCAAATGTGAGAGACCACCCTCACGAGAAAAAATCCAAGTATAAATCTGTTGGAAAAATTAGCTTAAAATGGCATAAAATGGCATATTAAGTGGCTATTTTGTGGAACAATTATCAGTGGGGTCCACTTCCAATTTGGGTTGGGTCAAAGTGGATTCGTATTCTTCATAGTAAGACGAAGAGATTGATATATTGTACGCTCAAAACGGATAATGGGTGAATGAGATATTGATTCTCAAAGTAGACCCATTTGAGTTGGGAAATGAAGGGAAAATAGTGGACTTTGTCCCACATTGGTTTGGAAACAAGATTTTCCCCCCTTATATACATGAGCTCTTTTGAAGCTTGTAGAATTGTATAGCATAGAGGCTCTCTCGCACGGGGGGGGGGGGGGGGGGGGGGTGCAAATCAAAATCCAACTAGAGGAGATCGAAAAGGCTTGAAATTAAGCCTGAGCTCGCGTGCGCCGGCACCTGTGACCACGAGAGTAGTGCACTCACTCTCGTGTTGCCTGGTTCGTGTGCTCTTGTTTGAACCTGCGCCCCAACGGTCTGAAACCCAAAAGTTCAGCTTGTTGTACAGATTAAACTCATCTGTTACGGAATTAATACTGTTTAAGTTTAATCCTACTTAGAGGTAGAGCAGTAGCTTTTCATCACAGTACAACAAAACGAAAGAAATTCCAGTAGCTTTCAGCTTCTCAAAACTCTGCTTCTACTCTCTTCTTTACCAACTAGTGTTCTCTACTTTGCTTTGTTTTCCGGGTTCCTTGTTTAGATGCTTAAACAAGGAATCGTAGCATGTTTTATCCTGGGAAACCTAGGCTACAATGCTCCTAGCACTTGTGGGAGGTAGCAAATAAGGTTTTAAGGAAAAGAACTCCGTGTTCGAACTCGTGCTAAACCTATATCCAAACACTCCACCTTTTCCTTCCCAGTTTTCTGTTTTTTCCCATATAATATTAATCTTTCCGTAGGATTATTATTATTTTGGGATTTTCCACCTTATTACCCAACAAAATCATCCATGACCAAAATGAATTAAATATTACTTTTATACCAATTAACATGCCATGACCGAAATATTCGTACGCTAAACATAATACACCAATATTTTATAAATATTCTGACATATGAATTCCTTTATACGAACACAACTTATATTACATACAAATTATGCTTATTGATATGCATATATACAATTATACATACTGTCGAAATCATAGTTTGGCTTTAAAATTCACAATTGCATTGATCAGCGAACATACATCTTTCCTAATTACATATCAATACTTATAAATTACATATGAATGCACAGAATGTATATACGAATATATAATGTACATATATATCATGTCATCATCAAACAATTTTTATATCGAACACACAATTCACAAGGATCATGAACCACATAACAACTATCAAAAATAACAAAATAGATTTTTAAAGAAAAAGGTTTTCACATAAACAATTAGAAAAAATGATTTTGTTTATTATGGGGTTAAAAGAATTTTAGATAACATAAATCTTATCTATATTTCAAAATCAATAAAACCCTTAAACCAAATCCTACGATCGCCCCTCCGTAAACTCTCCTTCGAATTGAGAAGGCAAGGTGTGAATTAATGGTGTCGGCTAAAGATGATGATGATGAGAAACTGGTGACGTTGTTTGAGGAAATTAGTAAACAAAATAATGGATTTGCTAGGTTCTGCCTTCTCCTATTTAGCCGCGCATAATTACCAACACTATTTGAGATTACTAATGGTTCTAGGATACTAGTCTAATGAGACTACTAATATTAGTCGTGGTCAGGGAGTAGGATACCTACATTAGCTAATAATAACTAATTAGGATAATTTAATAATTAGCTTAGACACCTATCTATATTTGTACACGTAATATATAACTATATAAATATCTATATCACATAGCGGTTTTCCTTTTTTTTTTTTTTTACTATATGCAGAGTGTGCTGACTTATATATTAAAATATACATATGTATAAATATATAGATTAGGTACAGTATATATATTCCTATCATATCTATATACTTACACTGTACGCAAGTCATATATATTATAGGATTAAGAATATTAACTGCAGGATTATTAGGAAGCCTAAGAATTAAAATAAAATCCGGAGAACAAGGATTACGAAATATACATACAGTGTCCAAAAATATGGGGTATGACATGAATCGTGCTAACGGCCCAACCTTGTGATTTGTTGGATTGATGATTGAGTCTTTGTGATTCGTTGGAATTATCTTGGTTTGCCCATTTGATAAGCATGCTTGTTTTGATGTCGTTATGCGAGTATGTGCGGTTTGTTCCTTCTTGTTGAGGATGGAAACTTGTGTTGTCCACCGTGTTGGTCGTGGATTGGAGTCCACCGTGATTGTTGAGTATTGTATCTTGCTATTCGTTGAATTCTCTTGATTGACTCTTGTGATTGGATCATGTGTGATCATTGAGTTCTGTTGATACTTGATTGGGCTATTTATGAGCCTCAATCCTCTTGATGATGACTATGTGTGACTATGATGAAATTGGTGGTTTGTTACTGAGCTTTGCTCATGAGTTCGGCAGTATGCGACTATGATATTTAATGGTATCCTCGTGTACTGAGAGTTCGGCGGTATTGTTTGGCGGCAGTTTGGTGGGGGACGACGGTCCCAGGAGGTAAAAGGTTGGACTCAGAAGTATAGGGTGGCACTCGGAGGTACAAGTTGGAACTGTGATAAGGCCGAGGGTAGCCATAAGGGTAGCACTATGGAATAAGGTTGGACTTGGTACTTGTTATTGAAATGTGTTGATCATTATGATGTTGTTGTTGTATTCCTTGCTTTGAGCATGTCTATGGTGAACACTACCTCGTGAAGGGTAGGTTACACGTAGAGTTGTGTTGTCATTTGTTGTTTGTGGTTTCTCTTATCTTGATGAGATTGTTGGTCTTAATCCTTGTTGAGAGTGCTTATGAGTCTATTGTGGTTTCACTCTTGGTTTTCAAATGATATATATATGGTATTCCCCGTTTCAACTGCATTTTATTCTATCTATCTATAATTTGATACTTAACGCGTATTGGTCGGTTACCAGCATTATTCGCTGACCGGGTGTCATCCCTTATCTATATGTTGTTTACAGGTTTTGCTTAGTGGGAGAGCGCGCTAGTGGAAACGGTAGCTAGTGTAGCCCTTTCCTTTTCTTAGTTTATGTTTGGCCTGTGAGCCCTAGATGTTTTGTGGCCCGTGTGCCTTAGACATGTGTTGTTATATTGGAGTTGTAGACTTAGCCTATGAACCTATGTTGTGATAGGTGTGGCATAATATCCCCGTTTAGACTTGCTTCCGCTTTATCTTTAATGGATGTTTAGCTTGTTTATCTAGTTATTTAAGTTAGCTGTATTAGATGAACTGTGATTACAACTGAACAGATTGAGGAAATATATACAATACAGAATCATAGAAAGACTAGGATAGGGAGTCATAATGTGACTCAAATACAAAGTGTCCTAATAAGGGTCAATATTATCTTTTCAAATTTCTTATTTTTTTTCCCTTTTAATTTTTTTTTTCACGTAAAAATTTATAAAAAGCGGACATAGAAGATGCGGCTACAAATAGGGAAATACAAGACATACAACCAACGCAAAAAATGTCACACATACCCCAAGTCACTAACACATAAACCATCATTACCTTTATTACCAAGATTGGAAAATGCAATGTTTTAAAAGTATTTTAAATTTTAGACAACAATAACGAATGATGGAAGTCTATTTATTCTTTTAATTATTACATTGTCATGTTAATAATATATTATCCGATCCGTCTTATTAGGTTGATAACATGCTTGTGACAAAAGGTAGAATCGCCCATCTTAAACTCCCTCACACCCCAGCCTGATAGTTTGTTATTTGTCAAGACAAATCATGGACACTTAAGCTTGTTTCCATGAGTCTTAAGGCGGGCATAGCAAGGGCAAAGATGCTTGTTGCCGTAAGTTCCCGGCGGGACGCAGTTGCATCTTCGGCAGCATGTCTTGCATGCCCTGCTGCACACATTCTTTCTTGATGCTTTCCTACATCTTCTTGCGCATGCATGTCCACAATCTGTACAATATACATATAAATATAAAAAATAAAGTTATTTTTGTACCGATTTGAACCGCCCATCAAGGTTCATCAATGGTTAAAGTTTTATTTTAAAAATATGAAATTAATTTTATAATTAATATAAATTTTCAAATTTATGATATTTATAAAAATGACTCTGTTTCTTTTCTTCTTATTTTTCAGCAACCCTCAATTCAACCATTATCTATCCAAATAAATGGATCAGATTAGTCATCTTCTCAGTGTACAAGAACACATAGGTTATCTGATGCTCTGTTGGGTATCTAATTTAAGTGATTATTTTCATATTTTCTCTTTATAAATGTGTGAGTTTTTTTTTTAATATAACATAAATTGAAATTTAGAAAGAAGGGGTACTACTGTAAATAAATAAAAGCATAAAAATAATTGAAAATACTATATATGATAATTTCATAAAATGTTAATTCCAGAGGAATTACCTTGTCTTTGGTGGCAATTTCAAATTTAGTGCCATGCTATCGTTTTTGCCATTTAACACTCTAGACTATCAGATTTTAGACACTTTTGATCATTTCGATGACTTTTGCAGTGAAACCCTATTTTAGAAGGGTAATTTCGTCTCTTCAATTTTTTTTTTAAATTCCAATGAGTTAATTCCAGCAGAGATTCTTTGTCTTTAGTGGAAATTCCAAATTCAGTCCCAGACAGTCATTATTTTTTCCATTTAACAAACTATACTATCATATCTTGGACACTTTTGGTCCTTCAGATGGCTTTTTCCTGTGAAACCCCATTTTAGGCAATGACATTTTTGTCTTTTCAATTTTTAATTTTTTGATTTTTTGCGTTGGTTTTTTTTTTTCCATTTCCAATTTAATTTCTTCTCTTCAGTCTTTGATTGCAACATCTCCTTCACATAACTCTTGTCTTCATCTCCTTCAACCCTACACAATGACGATATCGAGTACATGAGGACCTCCGGGTGTTGGGGATTCATTTTGCAACGCAGTTGGAAAGCTCAGGGTGTTACCACACGGTCGTCTTCAATCTGACCACTATTGTTTTAGTCCATCATTATGTGAATTATTACTATAGATGTAGAGAAAAAAAAAACATATTCTTTGTCATTAAAAAATACCCTTCCTAAAATAGGGTTTCAATGAAAAAACCAAAAGTCTCCAAAATATGATAGTTTGGGGTGTTAAATGGTAAAAATGATTACCTGTAACTAAATTTTGAATTGTGACCAAAGACAAGGGACCTTTGCTGGAATTAACTCATTGGGGAAATAATAATAATAATGATAGGGAATATCCCTCGGGCGTATGACCGTATATCTACTTGGCATGTATTCTGTATATCGAGAGGGACACCTCCCGATCTCGCCCGATCCCTTCAGTGCCCAACCCGACTCGAGGTGAGGCACAAGTTTATTCTTTTAGGATTATTAGTTGTTGCACGGAAAACCTTGGGCTCGGGAGGAGTTCCTGACCCTAGCGCTCGACCGGGTTGTCCCGAACATAATGACTCCTATACTTAGCAGATAAATACAGCCAACACCGCTATACCCGATCACATCATAATCAGATGGCGTCATGAATCTCTTGGCATGTGGATGTATCGGCGACGCTTGCGACTTCCTCAATTCATGCGATACACGTGACGGATATGCCGAGCTCCTAGCATGTATCCCCTTTTCAGCCCTTTATATAAGGCACATTAAATGCCTTGAGGAGGGACTTTTGGACCTTCTCACTAATAATACTATTGGAATTTTTAGCTTAATAATGACATTTAAGTGGCTATTTTGCGATACAAATATATGTGGGGTCTGTTGGCATCGGCCGGGTTGGCCGAGTTCAGCCGCTACTCGATTCGGGACGTGGTGTTGTGACTTACAATGGAGAGATGTGGTTAAATGGTTAATGTCCATCTACCTATCACCAATTGGTTTTAAGTAGGATATGGCAACCAGGTACCATAGAACTCTGTGGTTAAGCGTGCTTGACTTCCGATCCAACAATTGGTATTAGAGCAGAGGTCACGGGTTCGAATCGATGGCGAGGCGAAAGCCGAGTCCAGTGCGGCAGGTGCTAGGAGTGGGATTGTTGGGCGTCGGCCAGGTTGGCCGAGTTCAGCCACTGCTTAATTCAGGACTTGGCACTGTGGGTTACCATGGAGAGATGTGGTTAAATGGTCAATGTCCACCTACCTATCACCAATTGGTTTTAAGTACGATATGGCAACCAGGTACCATAGAACTCTGTGGTTAAGCGTGCTTGACTTTCGGCAATCCCGGGATGGGTGACCCACTGAGAAGTAAGCACCGGGATGGGTGACCCACATTTGAGTTGAAAAATGCACCCACTGGAAGTAAGCATAGTGTAGGGCCCCGACCCACATTTGAGTTGAAAAATGCACCCCCAGGTAGAACTTTGTGGTTAAGCGTGCTTGACTTTCGGCAATCCCGGGATGGGTGACCCACTGAGAAGTAAGCACCGGGATGGGTGACCCACATTTGAGTTGAAAAATGCACCCACTGGGAAGTAAGCATAGTGTAGCGCCCCCGGGATGGGTGACCCACATTTGAGTTGAAAAATGCACCCACTGGGAAGTAAGCATAGTGTAGCGCCCCGGGATGGGTGACCCACATTGGTGAACGAGAAATTGATTCTAAAAGTACACCTATTTGAGTTAAAAAATGGAGGTGGGATGGGTGACCCACATTAAATGGAGGTGGGATGGGTGACCCACATTGGTGAACGAGAAATTGATTCTAAAAGTACACCTATTTGAGTTGAAAAATGGAGGTGGAAAGAGGAAAGGCTTTGTAAAAATCAAATATTAAAATTATTACATATGCGGGCAACTGTGAGCACGAATGTCGTCCAAAAATTGGCTAGCCTAGCGAACTATGTTATGCCAATATTTCGTATAAATTTTAATTTTTCCAACTTAGAGCCACTGTCCGAGTAGTGAATCCGAAGAGTAAACTATGCCTACCATAGTACCATTCTCTTATAAACCAGTGTTAAAGCTAATTATTTTACCTTATCTTATAAATACTTTGTTGTGGCAGATTGTTTGTGTTGCTGGATTTGGATTTATCAAAATCCGTTTGTTTCCTCTCATCTCCTCTCTCGTTTTTCACTAGAAAATTTCTGCCAACACTTTCTTAAATTGTATGAAGTAGTGCTCAGCTTGTGTTCTAGTTCGCTGAGTTTTTCGTTTGAGTGCTCAAACATTAAATCGTAATCCATTTTATCTTGGGAGACTGACGATACAATACTTCTAACACCTTCGGGAGGTAGCAAATCGATTTTAATAAAAGTATGTGTTATACATCGACTCGAATTTCTCCTTCTTCTCATTTCTTGTTCATTGGGTTTATATTACAAATTATAAAACCCTTTTTCATTATATATATATATATATATATATATATATATATATATATATATATATATTATTCTTAGTTTCATACCAAAATTTGGTTGGAATTAATTTTTAAACAAATTAAATTCCATTTTTCGTTTATATATATATATATATATATATATATATATATATATATATATATATATTTTTTTTTATATACTCCATATATTATTTTGGTAAATAACTTATTCACCACCTACAAACACCTCTTAGCTCAGGAATGTTCGACTAGGGGTGTTAGCAAACAGAGCTTTCGATAAACTACTCGTGTTTGAATTCCTGTTTGGTAAGCGTTCGTTTATGTTCGTTTATTAAGGTAAACGAACATTAACAAACAAATTTTAGAGCTTTGTTAATAAACAAACATAGTCTGAATAGTTGTAAGCTAGTTTGCTAATAGATCATGAACAAGCTCGTCTGTTTAATTTGTTTAATATTGTTCGCGAACAAGCTCGTTTAGTGTTCGCTTAATAATGTTCATGAACAAGTTTGTTTAGTGTTCATTTAATAATGTTCATGAACAAGCTTGTTTATGTTGTTTGTTTGGCTATTGTTTATGAACTTAGATTATTTCTTGTTCACGAACGAATTGTGATCATAAACATGTGCAGATGTTTGGTTATTAAGTGTTCACGAACGTGCTTGTAAACGAACATGTTCGTGAACGTGTTCGCGAACATTAACGAACATGTTCGTGAACGTGTTCGCGAACATTAACGAACACGTTCGTAAACATGTTCGCGAGCGTTAACAAATACTAATGAACGCTTAACAAACGAACACGAACACTCCAAAATTCTTTACAAACGAACACGAACAACCTCCGTTCGTTTATGTTCGGTTCGTTAACAGCCCTACGTCCGACCCACTGTCTAAGTTACTCGAGCTCGCGGACCTACTTGGTAGACTATACGTATGCGTATTTAGAGACCCCATTGTATTTAACATGTCAAATAAAAATTGAGGAGATGAAAATACACTTGCCTAAAATAGAATTTCACCAAAAAAGTCATCGAAAAGACTAAAAGTGTGCAAAATATAATAGTCTGTGGTGTTAAATGGCAAAACCGATAGTCTATGACTAAATTTAGAATTATCACCAAAGATAAGGGATCTCCGTTGAAATTAACTAAAACATCTACAAATAGTAAGCATGATCATTTTTAATAATTGGTTCTACTTTTAGAGTTTTGGTCCATCAATTATAGCAATGTATTTATGTACTTTTGATCATCAACAATCAATTTGACTATTTTTAATCTATAGACTTTTTTCAAATCAATTGAGTTCAGTTCAAAATGTCTTAGAAGCCTATCAAGAAGGGTGGAGTTTAATTTGATAAAAGTAAAAGCATTTTAGACTTTCTAAATTTGATGACCAAAAGTGTAATTGTACTATTACTAACACTTTTAATACACAAATAATACTCCATGAAAACATCATCCTTCAAACACTAAGCGTAAGCATGAAATTGAAAACCTTATTCTATGCAGTGTTCAAAAAATCGCTAGTTGCTTTTCCGGCTCCTGAGGTGCCTAGGCACCCCTTTTTTTTATTTTTTATTTTTAATTTAAGACTTGATAATTATAAACTATTTATACTTTAATAGTTTATACTAAAATATTAAATATTAACCTTAAAACATCTAGAATTGTAAAAATTGTATAGAGATTTAAAGAATTAAAAAAAAAAAAAAAAAAAAAAAACAATTCCACAAAGTCACAACTCAAAGAGTATCAACTTACTTCCAAACTTTCAAATCGATCAATTAATAAAATCATAGAGAAAATAATCAAGTTGAAACTCCAAATGACATCGTTCTGAACAATTTAAGGTTATTTCGCTCAAAATGACGTCGTTTTGAGCGAAATAACCTATTTAAAAAAATTGAACAATAACTAATATTGGTCGACTAGGCAGCCGGCTACCTAGAACACCAATTACAGTGATATTCTAGATGGCCGGCGCCTAGACGCGATTTTTCAACAATGATTTTACGTGGACAATAATGAAGGGGCTCAAGAATAAACTTACTTATTTTTGGATGATGACTTTTTTTGAAAAGGGCTCCGTCTCTACCGTCTTCATTGATCTTATTGAAAAATGAAAAATATAATCAGAGAATTAGAACTTGTACTAGATGAAGAAAAAATAAACTAGTTAAAGAAAAATGTAACAGAGGGCATTGTATGAGAGGAAGGCAGGCTCCAGTCTCCAGAACAACTGAACAAATATAAGAGAATGAACTTACTTGGGTCACAGAATTATTGAAGTCATCCATGAGCAATGCCTCTCCAAACCCCTATAACATAGTGAATTTAGTCTAAAATTAGAATATTATACCGCACAAAATCTTGTACCATTTGACGTAGTTAAGTCAAGAAGCTCCAATTCTTTATTTGCACCGATCATTTGTGAATTAACTAACTTCATCATGACTTATGTGTTAATGAAATAAGACAGTATAATATGGTATAATATATTTGGTGCAAAATATCGAATTGATATACATCATTTGTTGTTTAAGAAATTGGAAAACATCCTAATCTTGTAAATTGTTAGTTTAATTCAAAAGTATATATATATTATACCTGTATGAGGAGAATGGCGATGAAGAAGATTGAGAAGATTTTCATGTTTGGAGAAGAAAGATATGACGAGGAGGTGAGGATGAAAGGTATATATATTTATAGCAGAGAGGGAAAGAGAGTGCATTGATGCCATATTAATAATGTTGATATGAAAACACAAGATAACATGAGTGTATTCGGTTTGGAGGTTTGTAATGCCTTTTTGTTGTTGCACCTGACTTAAAATGCTTCCATGTGAGCTGCACAGCTGTGGACAAAAAGTATACAGAGAATAAGGTGAGAAAGGCATGCGGGCATGCTTTTATATATATATGGTCCCCTTAACACATTGGCACCATATATTGGTTATCTGGAAAATAATTAAGATGAAATGTCATATTATATTATGCAGTCTAATATGGCATTATTGGGATGCATGCATGTCTTATCCCCTTTCTCAGGAGTGTCACTCCGGGCTGGTTTGCCCCATTAGGCCCGCTCCACTGCTAGTAGAAATTATTGTGTTACGTGGATCATAACAAAAAGTACATTTTTAATATACTAAATGTACATTATTTTTATACTGAATGTACATTATATAATATAATGTACACTCAGTACAAAAATAATGTGCATCCCCTGAATACAATGTACATTATTTTTGTACTAAATGTACATTATGTTCGTACTGAATGTACATTATGTTACAGTATACAAAATATGGTTCACACAACTTGTGTGGTCCATGGTCCATACAATAATGATTGACTGCTAGTTGAAATTTTTCTGGACCTTTACAGGTCAGTCTGTGGTTAGAAATTTTCAACCCTAGCCTACCTTATGCGGGTTCGCCCGCGGGCTAACTTCAAAGTTATATATATATATATATATATATATATATATATATATATATATATATATATAGAGAGAGAGAGAGAGAGAGAGAGTTGCACTCGGGTGCGAATGGCTTGCCCAGGCGCGAAATAGGAATGGATTCTGTTCGTCCACGTGTCCAGATCTAATGGATGAGAAACACTGATTTTTTTAAAAAACGCGGTGGCATTTTCGTAAATAATTGAACATCGAAGTGCAAGTAAAATGTATTACAAGTGCATGTAAAATGTATTATAGGTGCAAGTAAAAATTTACACTGAGCATCAATACTTAGTTGCACTTATAGTTTTAAGTAGTTGCACCTATAGTTCTAAGTAGTTGCACACATAGGTATAAGTAGTTGCATCTAGGTGTATGAATGTTTGCGAGTGGTTTTCAGGAGTATTACTACCCGCTGAACTCAGATCAATGAATGTTAACAAGTCAAAATTACATGCACTTATAGGTGAAAGTAGGTGCACATATAGTTATAAGTAGTTGCACCTATAGTTATAAATAGTTGTACATATAGTTATAAGCACACCCAGGTGCATGAATGGTTGCGGAAAGTGAATGCTAACAAGGCAAAATTACATGCACTTATAGGTGAAAATAGGTGCACTTATAAGAGATTTTACTTGCACTTCGATGTTCAATTATTTACGAAAATGCCACCGCGTTTTTTTTAAGTTATTAGATCTGGACACGTGTCACGCGCTGATTCGTTCGCATTTCCTTCCTGGGCACTTATTCGCACCTGAGTGCGTCCCTATATATATATATATATATATATATATATATATATATATATATATATATATATATATATATATATATATATATATATATATATATATATATATATATATTTATTTATTTATTTATTTATTTATTTATTTATTTATTTATTTATATATATTTATATTTATATTTATTTATTTATGTATATAGGGGTAAAATCAAATAAGAATAGTGTCCTCCTGTAAAAAGTGAGCACGGATCTAAACCGTTCATTATGGTTTATCAATGGTTAAAGGTTTTAGTACATAAATACGGGTCAATTTTATAATTATTAATAACTTTTAAGAGCGATATTCACTTTATAATTATTGCAAACTTGAACGTTTGGTAATGGTAAGATCCTAGCCTTTGATTTCTTAAAATAGAAGATGTGAATGTGTCCATACTTTTTGCAAGAGAAGGTGTTCTCACCTGGAGCCTTGCGGGTGGCTACGGTCTACTTTTACATACCCTTTTCTTGATTTAATTACAAACTAACAACAAGAATCCAATTAACATATAAAAAGGTAAATGCATGGCTTGAATTTTGTGTGTGGTCTCGTGCATTTGCAGGTATTTGGTATCTGCATGCTAGGCTGGAATTCAGTGTTGTTTCCTCCACGTCGCTATCCCTGCCAACTGCAAAACAATAGCATACATCCATTTCCATGCATGTATCAATCTTGTTTGTTTGGTGCTTTGGTGCGTATCTTCCAAATATTCATCAAAATTACAATGTGTATTCATTAGATATATATTGCATTATTCACGATTTCACGGCAGAAAAATCAAGGCTTTTCCATTGAAAATATCATTTCTAACAGACCACTTTAGGGTGCCACAAAGTTACTTCTACGTATTACTGATCACTCATCAAAATGGTTGGTGTTACCCAGCGCATTATTAAAGTGGCTGAAATTTTTGATTGGTAAGTCATCGGTGAGAGTACCTCACCTTTCTTCTTATTCTCAAATTTTCAGCTATGATCCTCCATTACTTTCATTTCAAGAAAATTTGTTAGTATAATACTCCTCCGTCTAATTTCATCCGTCTTTTTATTATTTATTGGTCAAATCAATTATTTCTTATTCTTTATTTAATTATTTTAGTATTTTTTTTACTTATTTTTAAATTTAATTTTTGTGTGTTTAATAGTACTTTTAGTGTAGTTTCTAAAATGAGAAGGAGGGAGTATAAATCATGCATATAAAATTTTAATCAAATAAACGATCACATTAGACATCTATAGTTACAATTAAGCAATGTAACTTCATAAGGTTGGTCTCCAGTGAGATGGTCTCACAAGTCTCAGTCCGTGAGACAGGACGTCGGATCTAATAAAAATGGGTCATAACATACTTGCAAATATAATCAATACTTTAAATTATATATATATATATATATATATATATATATATATATATATATATATATATATAGGGTAGGGTTCCAATGAGAACATGTGTTTAGCTGAGAACATGAGAACACATCATGTTCATCCATCTAATATTTTTTAATGTTATAGATTAGATTAAGTGTGTGCGAACGCGCATTAAATGTGTGCAAACACACTTAATCGCGTTTGCACACATTTAATGCATGTTCGCACACACTTAATCTAATCTAGACCATTAAAAAAATATTAGATGGATGCACACGATTTGTTCTCACGTTCTCACCTAAACTGGTGTTCTCATATGATCTTTTATATATATATATATATATATATACACACACACACACACACACACACACACACACACACACACACACACACACACACACACACACACACACACACATATATATATATATATATATATATATATATATATATATATATATATATATATATATAGTACTTTATAGTAAAACTGTAACCGACAATCACTACAAGAAAAATGCACATAGACAACGGTTAATAACCGTTGTCGTAGGGGTATAATTTCTGTTGTTGAAGCCGGTGTTGTTGTAAGTCTCGCGCATAGACAACGGTTTTTTAACCGTTGTCTTTTCTAGAAACAACAACGGTTTTTTAACCGTTGTCTATTAAGTGTTGTTGAAGCCGGTGTTGTTGTAAGTCACGCACATAGACAACGGTTAATAACTGTTGTCTTTTCTAGAAACAACAACGGTTTTTTAACCGTTGTCTATTAAGTGTTGTTGAAGCTGGTGTTGTTGTAAGTCACGCACATAGACAACGGTTAATAACCGTTGTCTTTTCTAGAAACGACAACGGTTTTTTAACTGTTGTCTATTAAGTGTTGTTGAAACCGGCGTTGTTAAAAGTCACGCACATAGACAACGGTTAATAACCGTTGTCTTTTCTGGAAACGACAACGGTTTTTTAACCGTTGTCTATTAAGTGTTGTTGAAACCGGTGTTGTTAAAAGTCACGCACATAGACAACAGTTTTTAACCGTTGTCTTTTCTATAAACGACAACGGTATTTTAACCGTTGTCTATTAAGTGTTGTTGAAACCAGTGTTGTTAAAAGTCACGAACATAGACAACGGTTTTTAACCGTTGTCTTTTCTAGAAAAGACAACAGTTTTTGACCCGTTGTCTATTCAATGTTGTTGAAACCGGTGTTGTTAAAAGTGATGCACATAGACAACGGTTTTTAACTGTTGTCTTTTCTTTAAAAGACAACAGTTATAAACTGTTGTCTATTGTGTGTTGTTGAAATCGCTGTTGTTAAAAGTCACGCCTATAAACTGTTGTCTTTTGTAGAAAAGATAACAGTTTCAAACTGTTGTCTATTGTAAAATAGACAACGGTTGTCTCAACCCATTTTTAACCTGCTTAAATTTTAATCATATAAAAAAAATCAATTTATCCATTCACCATGGCCAAGTATAGTTACATAATTTTGAAGAAGCTAAGCAAGGTTCAAAATAACAAGTCAAAATACTTTCATTACTAATTCTAATCGAATCATCATCCAAGTCATAATACTACAAAAAACAATTCTACGAACCAAGTCTAAATGATTACAACGTCAAATCATACCTACTCTATATAACATGATAGAATATCGGCTCATTCAGAACGCACCAGATCAATAACCGCTTTGTCATAATCAACTTGTTGAAACTACATGTAAAAAGTGAGTAAATAAATTAGTACGTAGTCAATATAACATTATAAGAGATAGCTAGATAGATAGATAGTGAGTATTGGCAGCAGTGTTAGTGAAAGAATAGCAAAGGGAACTAGGCAAAAAGAAGACACTACCAATTGCATTTGGTAGGTTTGGTCCATAACCAACCCAAAATAAAAATAACAGTGACAATCAAAAGCAACAGCAATATTTTAAATAACCAAACCAAAATGCAAGAATTCCAAATCTGAATAAACTAAAGCAACCATGATATGAAATAGACACCATACATATCATCATCCATCTAAAAATACACACAATAACTATCTGTCAACTTTGTTTGCTAAAAATCTCGTAATGCATCAAATAGCAGTTAAAGATAAGAGCTCTAATATATGTCCTAAGAGAATTTTGTGTTTTAAATTTGTTGCTTCAGTTTATGTTTACGGTCTTTATCTCCTCATATTTAACTATTGGATATGTTTACAAGGGTTCATCTGTATTTTCATTCTTTTTCGGC